CCGCCTAGGCGGCGAGACCTCATCTCTACAATAAATCAAAAAATTAGCCGGGCGAGGTAGCGAGTGCCTGTAGTTCCAAGCTACTTGGAAGGCTGAGGCGGAAGGATCGCCGGAGCCCAGCAGGTCGAGGCTGCGGTGGCCGGGAGCGGCCACTGCACTCCAGTCTGGGCGACAGAGTGAGACTCCAACTCAAAAAAAAAAAAAAATACTATAAGAAAGGGACTGGCAGTAGTTGGAAACTGCTGGGTGGTAGGGGAGTCGGGGGCAGGGCATGAGATTGGCAGTAGTGGGAAACTGCCAGGGCACGGGGGGCACACCTCATCAACAAGGCTACCTGCATAATGAACATTTGTACACCTAACCCTGAGTTGTACCCCACATCTTCAAAATTAAAAATTTAAAAGTTAAAAAAAGGAAGGCAAGAATCTGACTGACCATCTGCCTGACAGACAGACAGACCTCCCCTTCCAGAGGGTGTCCTCTTCTGCTGTCAGGTGGCATCCCCTCATCACGATACTCCACGACAAGGTCAGCAGGGCAGGTGTCATTATCTCCATCGCCAGAGGAGACGATGGGGCCCGGAGCACCTCAGACGCACCCCTGATCACACCGCCAGTAAATGACTGCGAGCGCAGAACTGGGACCTGGCCCCAACTCCCAACCGGTGGGCTTCACGCTCACCTCATGGGTGGGGGTCGGAGAGCACCCACATGGGAGGAGCTCAGGCCAGCTGCCAGGAATTGTCTTCTGTTTTGGGTCCCATGCTGCTCCAGGATCCCTGCCCTCAAGAAGTTAGAATCCTGGGGAGAAAGAAATGCTGGAAAAAAATAGAGAACAAAGACCTGGGATGTGTGTCTGCGAGGCCTGGAGAGCATGAAGGAAGTCTTCCTGGAAGAGAGGGTCCTTTTTTTTTTTAATTAGCAACAATCACACCTCAGATAAACCTCACTGGCTACGATATTGCCACTGTGCAAAACTAAGAGAGGGCTCTTGAAATGGGCCCCTGAAGGATGGGGATTCCCTCCATTGAAAATAGGAGAAACCTGGCCAGGCACAGTGGCTCCCACCTGTAATCCCAGCACTTTGGGAGGCTGAGGTGAGAGGAAAGCTTGAGCCTGGGAGTACAAGGGTTCAAGACTACCCTGCACAACATAGTGAGACCTAGTCTGTATAAACATTTTTTTTTTTGAGTTGGAGTCTCACTCTGTCGCCCAGACTGGAGTGCAGTGGCCACTCCCGGCCACCGCAGCCTCGACCTGCTGGGCTCCAGCGATTCTTCCACCTCAGCCTTCCAAGTAGCCGGAACTACAGGCGTGCGCTGCCACGCCCGGCTGATTTTTTGATTTATTGTAGAGATGAGGTCTCGCTGCCCAGGCGGGTCTCGAACCCGCGGGCTCAGGCAGTCCACTCACCTCAGCCTCCCAAAGGCGCGGGATTACAGGCTGAGCCACCAAGCCTGGCTATAAAAAATTTTAAAACTAGCCGGCTGTGATGGCATGCACCTGTAGTCCCAGCTACTCAGAAGGCTAAGGCAGAAGGATCACCCGAGCCCAGGATGTCAAGGCTGTGGTGAGCCATGATCGTGCCACTGCACTCCAGCCTGGGTGACAGAGTGAGAACCCAACTCAAAAAAAAAAAAATGAAATAGAAGAAACTCTCCCCAGATCCATTTGAACAGCAGAAAAAGGGACATTGCTGGTTCGCCCAGGAGTTCCCGCCACGCAGTGTGTCTGGAAGGTGTCTGGCTCCCGCGGGCTCCCCCTCTGAGCTGTCCATGTTCTCCCTAGGGACCAGCGATGACCTTGGGCATGACATTGGAAATGTTCGGGCCTCAGTTTCTTCACCTAAAAAATGGGCCTAGCACTATCTGGCAGGAAGTGTCACTGCGAGGAGTGAAAGGACATGTGCCAAGCACATGGCGGGTGGTCAGCAAGATGTTGGACAAGGCAGCCGGGCTCTTGGGACACAGTCACCTGCCTTCTCTCCCCCCTCGCAAGAGCTCTGGGGGTGCTCTGGATGTGGGAGGGGACCATGTAGCAGGCTTCAGACACTTGCCCGAGGTCACAAAGCTGGAGGGTGACAGAATCAGGGCATGTACTTAGGTCACATCCCATGCTGGTGCCAAGACACCATCGGGATGAGTCGGGGTGTCGAGGGATGTGTGTCACCCAGAGTTCTCTCCTGGGCTGAGGATAGGCCCTGGGGGCCCTTCCTTCCCCTGGAGTCCACCAGCATTGCCCCAAACTCACCTCAGGCCCACCACTGGTATCCACGCCAAGCAGCCTCCTGGGGACTGGGCCACGTGAGGCCCAGCTGAGCAGATGCTGCCTCTCTGGGGGGCCTTCCAAGCTGCCCAAGCTCACTTTGTTACCCTGCTCCAGCTGTGGTTGTGTAGAGTCCCTGTCCGCCATACAACTTAGCCTGGTCCATCCATTCCAGCCTACCCATCCCTGGAGCCCCTATGAAGTGCTCCCTTGGGCCCCGAGTAAGGTTGTAGTCAGTATTCAAGGGACATCCTTCCCAAGGCCAAGGTTTTCCATGGTGTGACCAGGCCCCTGCCCAATGCCATCCAGCAGTGAGATATCCTCCCTGGCTGCAAGAATGTTCTGTCTTCTTATGTCTCTCCGTGTTCTGGTCTATTTCAAGTAGGCTTGGCTTTGCATAATAGAGACCCTACTTCCCCACTTAATAAAAGGGAAAAGTCTATTTCTTTCAGAAAGTCCTGAGGCAGGCAGTCTAGAGCTGGTTGAAGGTTTTACACAATCCTGAGAGGGACTCAGCTTTCTTCCAGCTCACTGCTTCCACCATCTTGTTCTCGTGGTCTAAGATGGCAGACAGAATGCCAGCAATCACTGCTGCATTCAAGGCATCAAGATGCAGAAAGAAAATCAGCCGGGCGTGGTAGCACATGCCTGTAATTCTGGCTACTGGGAAGGCTGAGGCGGAAGGATCACCGGAACCCAGCAGGTCGAGGCTGCAGTGGCTGGGAGCAGCCACTGCACTCCAGTCTGGGCGACAGAGTTAGACTTCGACTCAAAAAAAAGATGCAGAAAGAATAGAGAAGAAGGAGGCACATGTTACAGACCAGATTACTTTTAAGAAAGCATCCTAGAAATCTGGGCACATGACACTTCTGCTTGGCTATGTAATCATACCTAGCTGCAAGGGAGGCTGGAAATCTGGGCACATGACACTTCTGCTTGGTTACACGTCTAGCTGCAAGGGAGGCTGGAATAGTCTTAATTCTAAGTTACCATGTGCCCAGCTAAAAATCAGGAGAAAAGGGGAGAACAGACATTGGAGGTAACTAGCTATCTCTGACACCTCATCTACTCAATAAGCATGTATTAGGTACTCCTTGTACTTACCCACACTGTAGCACTTAATATGATCAATACTTAGCATCTCATGAGCGCTAAATAGGGTCTGGCATGCCTGTTAAGCAGTGGCCATTATTCTTTTTTTTTGAGTTGGAGTGTCACTCTGTCGCCCAGACTGGAGTGCAGTAGCCGCTCCTGGTCACCGCAGCCTCGACCTGCTGGGCTCCGGCGATCCTTCTGCCTCAGCCTACAAGGAGCTGGAACTATAGGCACGCGCTGCCACGCCCGACTCATTTTGACTTATTGTAGAGATGCGGTCTCGCCAAGTTGTCCAGGTGGGTCTCAAACCCGCGGGCTCAGGCAATCCACTCACCTCAGCCTCCCAAAGGCGCGGGATTACAGGCTGAGCCACCGAGCCTGGCTGACCATTATTCTTAATGCATCAGAGTGCTGTGATACAAGCCAGGCTAATGTGAGTGGGCAGGAGGGGTGCCTAGCTGGCAGAGGAGCAGATGTAGAAAGCCATCTTTGGTGGAGGACACCTGGGCATGTACGGGGTCTTTTTTTTTCTTTACACCCTGAAGAGTTGGACCACTGGACATTGGAAGTGGTTGACTGTAGCCATTTCAGGACCTTGTATCGGCTCTCCCACTCCCCTCAGCCTTCTCTGGGGATGATGCTGGTAACTCTTCCTCACCATGGTGGCGGTGACAATCACAGCCGAGCACAGCCTCTTTAGGGCTGGGGAATTCGGGCATCAGTTAAGTTAACCCTGAAGGCCTTGGGACCTTCCTGAAGCTGCGGGCAGTTACACGGCGACTTCTGAGACTCGAGGATAATCATCTCCATGGGCTAGTACCTGACAGAGTAGGGCAGCAGGTGCTTGGTGTCCTTCTGAGATGACCCAGAGAGGAAGGCCCAGGTTCCAGGAATGCCCCCCAGCTCACCTGAGTGGATAAGGAGGAAGCTGACACGTGGCCCTCCCTGGACTCACAGAGCTTGGAAGAGGTTGCAGCAGTGGGTGCCTGGGGGTGGGCACCCTTATCCTGCGTGGCCTCCTTGGCTTCACCCTTTGGGGCTGTGGGGGAGCAAGTTGCTGCTGCCCAGCCCCACTCTGGGCCTGGGCAAGCAAGCTCCACGTTCTTCCTGACCACCGTGTGAGGGTCCTGTGGGAGACAACACAGCTCTCACCAGGCAGGAGTGGGTCCACACGCCTCGAGACCCCTCCCCAGGGTTCTCTAAAGCTCCCTCCATCCCTGACCTGGGGAGCCAGTCAACACCTCCTCCAGGAAGCTCTCACTGACTTCCCTCACTGGTGCCCAACCTCAGCGCCCCCTCAGCCCTCCATCAGGGCATGGATGGCTCTGGAAGGCCACTGCTGCTTGCTTGTCTGTCCCCAGCATTTGGCTGATGCCTCTAAGAGCCCCGGCCCCGGGCTCACTCGATATATCCCCTGTGACTTGCAGGTAATGTGAACTCAGCAGCTACGCATCAACTAATGAATGAATGAGTGGGTGAATGAATGAGGCCCCTGGTTGTCAGGGCACGGATATCCCAGCAAGGAGGAGGAGCCCTGCAAGGGTTAACCAGGAGCCCGTCTGTGGTCTGAGGTAAGCAAGGAGTGTATTTGTTCAGGTAAATAAGGAAGGATTACTTATAATGGGAAATCAGGCCCCAGCCAATTCTTCATCTCGCGGCTGCCTGACTTCCTTCCGTGCATTCTTGCACTCCGTCCACGTCCACACTGCCCCACAGATCAGACCCTGAAGCCCGCCGCTGCCCCCACCAGCCTCTCAAGCAGGGCCTTGCCACGGTGCCGGCAGGTGCCCTGGGCCGGGGGTTCCCTCCAGGCTCGCAGCCCTGAGACCTCCGAGGGCCACCCCTCGAGGGCGGCCAGGCCCCCGGTGGCCAGCCCGAGTGCTGCCTCTGCCCCCACCCCTGCTGGGTCCAGGTCTCGCTGGTCCCCCAGATGCCTGGCTGAGACCCAGCAGTGGCCCAGGCTGCCCACACCTCCTCCTCCTGGCCCCCGAGGTAGGCTGTGCAGCCGACAACTCCTTGGGCGTCAGGCAGCTAACGGGTAAGTCCGACGGAGCACAGAACGCCTGCAGGGGCTTTCTTGGCTAGCTGTGGGGAGGTGGGTAGCTGTGGGTAGGATTGCAGGTGCACTTAGCAGGCCCAGAGCCCATCTCCTAGGCATCCATGGCCCCGTGGCCTGGGTCCTTCACCCCCAGAAGCCCCTGCCTCCTCTGCATGTTGCCTCGTCTCCCTCCCCGGACCAACCCCAGAGGCTGGCTGAGCCCCTGGGCCTGCCAAGGTCTGCAATGCCCCACAAGGAGCCCGGCCTGCAGGGAGGTAGCTCTGCAGGTGCGGGCCTCGGCCCCTGGGTCCAGCAGTTCTGCTTGGCTAGAGAAACACAAGCGGCCTTTCTGCTGCTGCCAGCCCCGGCTGCTCGGCCAAGGGAAGGGTCTCCCCGGGGCTGGCTGGAGCGTGGAGGCTCAGGCGAGGCCAGGGCCAGGGGCCGGGTTGGAGCAGGGGAGACAGAGCCCCGGAGCAGACTGGGCCATGGTGGCACAGGAACCAGGTGGTCCCAGGTCGCCGCCGAGCAGGCCACCAGAGCCCTGGGACACGGGGAGGTGGAGGGCCTGCGGGCCCCGGTCTGGGCACTCACGGAGAGCCCGTGAGGATCCCTTGAAGGTGCTCGTTTCTAAGGTTTGCCAGATTCCTCAAGTGGGGAGAGAGGAAGTGGGGGTGGAGATGACAGGATGGGAAGCTGAAGGGTCTGGGTGATTGAGGTGCACCTGAGGCTGGCCAGGGGTGGGTGGGCATGTGCAGGGCTATGCTGGGGGTGGGCAGGCCCACGGAGCTGGCCCCAGATCCCTCACCGAACCCTGCCAGCTGGGTCAGCCCGCAGCCCACGCCGAGGCCACCAGCTCCGAGTAGCCTGTCCCCTTGGCGATGGTCACGGCCTCTCTCCTCTTCCCTGGCCAGGGCTGGGGCTTGGCGTCATTTCCTGCCCCCACCTCCCCAATCAACGTCCTCACGGTAACCCCCAATAAAGCCGCATCTCCCCAGCACCAGCTGCTTGGCTGAGTAACAAAGCAAACAGGCGTCCGAGCTGCCCCAGGCCCAAGGCGGCAGGCAGGAGGGGAGGAGACGGGCCACCAGGCCTAGGCCATGGCCCAGCTGGGCTGGGTAAACTGAACCTGCCCCCGCCTGCCTGCAGGACCCCCAGCTTGGAGTCCGCCACCCCAAACTCAGACAAATGGCGGGGTGGAGCGTCCTAGAGCCCCCGGGAGGTTGGGTTGTGCCAGGGAGGCAGCTTCACCAGGTAGAGCCCACCCTCCCCTTGAGAACCTGACAGTGAGTGGACAAGGCCTTCCTCTGTGCCAGGCCCTGCGGGGCCCAGAGCTGGACACTCAGTCCCTGCCAGACACGTTGGTCACAACTTGTTACCAGTTATGAAACACTTCCACATCTCTCTGAACTAGACAGGGCTTCTCAGTCAGCCAAGCCTGAGGGGACAGGGCTGTACCCAGTAGGGGCCCAGTCGATGCTCAGAAAGGGTAATGCTGGCAGTCTGTAGAAGAACTGGAAGACCCACTTTTTCCCTGGAGGTGGTTGCAGGGATGAAGCGATGAGGTGTGATTTTTGTGTGAGTACAGCCGGGGGAGGTCAGTTCAGGCTGGAGAGAGACAAGACCCCCGGGTAGAGGGTAAGGAGGCCTGGGTGAGAGCCCACAGGGTGTCATCTTGGGCAGGTCGCTTCTCGCTGTGCTTGTGACTCCTGTCTGCGAAGTGAGAAGGTTAGACAAGGGTGTGTCCTCTGGGAAAGGAGGCTTCATGAAGGAGACAACCTGGACCAGGCCTTGAAGGCTGAATAGGAATTGGTTAGAGACTGGCAGGCTGGATTTGGCAGCCTGTCTCTTAGGCTGAGGTGGGGGAGGCAGGTGGGACAGGAATCTCAGGCTCTGGCTCCTGGAGGGCAGGGAGGGGTGGGGCGGTCGGAAGCTGCTGTGGCCTGGGCTAGACAGCAGGACGACCCCAGGCAAGGGCCCCAGCCTCCCTCACCCCTCGTCATGTCTTCAACTCTCCCCTCCAGCCCGCCCCTCCACTCACCACCACCTGCATCTTCACTTGCCCCCTCCTTCCTCTCTCCCCCTCTTCTCCAGCCCCATCCCCTCGCCTGCTCCCAGGTGCTCAGCCCATCATAATCCACAAGGAATTTCCCTCCACCCTCCATCCCCGTCTCCACAACCCCTTTAGGACATGCCCTTGGCAGCCCATTTAACAGACAGGACCACCGAGTCTCCGAAGAGGCCGAACCACTTGTCCCCGTCCTAGAGCTAGAGAGCGGAGGGTCCCGGCCGGAGCCTGGTCGGGGGCCACCTCCTTGTCCCCACCCCCACCCCGTGTCGTGCCCTTCCCTGCGCCCCCAGCCAAGCGAGCGGCCTGTCAGGTGGAGCAACTCTTCCCAAAGCAAACTTTGCACAAGCGAGTTGCCCTGGGCTCTTCCTGACATTTAATGCCGGGCTCCTCTCCCAGCTGGTTTGCATGTTCTCAGCCTGGGAGGCACCCCCTGCCAGAGTCTCCTCTCCCACCTCTCGGTGGCTGAGGTGGGGATGCAGGGGGCTCCAGATGTGGGGGGGAGAGTGGCCTCCTTTCTCCCACCAGGAGCTTTAGTATGACTCTGCTGGGGCCAGATGGACCAGGCTGTGCCCCGGACGATGAAGGGCCAGTGAGATCTCTCTGGGCACTGCCAGGATGGAGACGCCTTCCTCTGCCCTCTAGCTCTGGGACAGGGGCAGATGTCTGGGAGTGACTGCCCAGGCTGGTGAAAGGGTGGCGTCAGGTCTCTGATCCTGGGGGTAAGCAGGTCGTCCTGAGAGCTCCTTCCACCCCTCACCCCCACTCCAGCACCAGGACAAAAGGAGGATGTGTCTCTGCTGACACTTCACCCCCTAACAACCCACCCCTGATCATCTCGACCTTTCTGGAAGCAATCTTAGCCTCTCAGGACAGTTCACTCTGGATGTTTTCATCCATAACATTAGCATCCTTCACTTTACCCTGACACCGTCTTTCCAAGCCTGGAGCTCTGCTCTGTCGCCCTAGGATTGGGGCTAAGGCCAAGATTTTACAGACTCACCCCCCTCCCCTGGCTTTCTCCGTGGGTGCTGGGCTTGGAGGAGCCCCAGAGACGGCAAGAATAGAGATAGCAGTAAACCACTGCATACACACCCCTCTGGGAGAAGAGAAAGCTCACGTCGCTGTCCTGCCCAGTGACTTCAAACCCAGGACACAACTGTCTTTGCAAGCCCCCCATTCACTGTTGAGGAGGCTGAGACCAGAGGCTCAGCCAAGACGCCCCAGGCAGGACCGGCAGGAACCAGGTGAAATCTACACCTCCGAGGACCCGGCAGCCAGGCTGGGGCAGGGGGGTGGGGAACGAGACACCCATGGTGCCTCACAGCCCCTGTCCTGCATCCAGTGCTGGGAGATGTGGTGCCCTCGGGCCTGGAAGAGGGCAGGAAGGAGAGGGATGCCACAGCTGACCCCTTCGAGGAGGGAGAGTGTGCTGGAGCTGGAGGGGCAGCCGTGTGGACATGGCTGCGTGGCAAGGGATGTGCAGGTGGCCAGGGGCGTGGCAGCCTCGGTAGGGCCAAGGGGCCTGGCTGGGGCACTGAGAAGTGAAGTGTATGACACACAGCATGTGCTCCACCAGGGCTGAGTGAGAGAGAGACTGGTAGTAGGATCTGGTAGTCTCTAGTAGTCGTGTGGAGTTGTGCTTGGTGTGGTGGGAAGTGGTTCTCAGCTCGACTCACTCTAAGGCTGATGGGGAGAGCTGGGAGCAAGTGTGGCAGCTGCGGGGAGCCAAGCCTCATGGGCAGTTCGCGAAGTGAGGGACAGCCTGGTGGTGACCCTGTCTGGTCAGAAGAGTAGACACCAACTACAGGGAGGGGACGGGGGCACCCAGCCTCACCCCTCTTCAGTCCTAAGTTCCCCCTCTGCTCACAATCCCTTTCCCAAGTCCCAACGTCAGGGGGAGGGTCAGGGGGAGGGTCAGGGGCCACAGGAGCCAGACCGTACCTGGGCTGGGAGAGATGACCTTCCGCCCTCAGAGTACAGAGGAGGAGAGGGGGGCCTAGAGGGGACCAGGGACTCACCCAGGGTCTCACAGCAGAGGGAACAGGGCAGGCCATGACCCACATCTGCAGAAGCTGAGGCCTTGAGTGCTTTCCAGGGCACGTCCTCCCTTTGGAGCAAACTCTAACTGGAAGGTGCATTTGGGCTGAGGTGGGTCCCTTTCCCTCCAGGGTGCAGGTTCCCGAGCCACCTGGGTCCCACCAGTACGACGGCTGTGGGACTGGGACTTTCAGGGGCCGGGTTGGCAGGTGGCCTGAGCAGAGGCAAAAAGGATGGTCAGTAGGGGTGACCCCAGGGGCTGGAAGCACCGTCGGAAGGGAGGGTGTAGCTGAGTCTTGGGTTCGACTCCTGCTCAGTCATGCATGGACACATGCCCGTAGCAGGTCACCACGCCCTTGTCTGTCAATGATCCTGGCTGTCCCTGGGGGTGGCTGGGAGGGCCCAGCAAAGCAGTTTATTTAGTTTGGCCTTTCTCTTGTCCCAGAAAGTTGGAAGTCAGCCGGGCTCTGTGGCTCAGCCTGTAATCCCGCACCTTTGGGAGGCTGAGGTGAGTGGATTGCTGAGCCCGCGGGTTTGAGACCCGCCTGGGCAGCGAGACCTCATCTCTACAATAAATCAAAAAATCAGCCGGGCATTGTAGCGCGTGCCTGTAATTCTGGCTACTTGGAAGGCTGAGGTGGAAGGATCGCCAGAGTCCAGCAGGTCGAGGCTGCGGTGGCCGGGAGCGGCCACTGCACTCCAGTCTGGGCGACAGAGTGAGACTCCAACTCAAAAAAAAAAAAAGAGTTGGAAGTCTGTCGCCAAGGGTGTGTGTGTAGACTCCTGGGGAGCCCATGCAGTGGGGCGCAAAGAGAGCTTTACTGGTACAAACGTGCCACCAGGCCCTTGGCTGCCGGTGGGAGCCATGGGAAGAGCAGACCACACCAGGTTTCCC